GTCTTTATATACAGTCAGTGATCGTCTTTATATACAGTCAGTGTCTTTATATACAGTCAGTGTCTTTATATACAGTCAGTGATCGTCTTTATATAAAATCTTTACTCACATGTTACTTTGACACAAGGACTCGATGCAGATCGATGCTCTCACATTGTCTCTGAGGCGAAGCTGAACTCTTTCACTCGACTCTGACACACACACAGATGCAGAAATGTATTTATAATAGTTATAATTGTACATGTATATGATGTATATGTATATAGTGTACATGTATATGATGTATATGTATATAGTGTACATGTATATAGTGTATATGTTGAACGCACCGATCAGGAGGCTGGAGGTGAGCTGGTAGAATCCAGAGACAGGGGCCACGTATCTGCCGCTGCTGCTGTTGAAGCTGTGACCTCTCTGGAGGCTCCGCCCAGAGTCTGAGGGCTGCGGAGGTCAAAGGTCACAGGTATTTACAGTTTGTGTGTTAAATGTGTGTGTGTGTGTGTGTGTGTGTGTGTGTGTGTGTGTGTGTGTGTGTGTTTCACCTTGCTGAATGGCTGCAGCTCCAGCAGACTGCGGCGTTGGATGGTGATTGGCTGAAGGAGATGACTTAGGAAAGAGGCGGAGACACGCGGACGATCACACAGGACGCTCACTCCTCCCACCATGTCTGAGGGCGGTGATTGGTCACATTTCAGACGTCTGATCTCATCGTTATCCTCAACTAATGTTCTATGAATTCTGGGTAATTTAGACCATGTTGTGGCATTGTGTGTTCACATCAACATAAATACACAATCAGAAGTGTTAGCCTAGCTTAGCATAAAGGCCTCAGTGTCACCTCTCTGTTTCAGCTCTTGTTGTTGGGGTAAGAGGGGGGCAGTGGGGACCAGAGGCCCCTGGGGTCCTGGAGGTCCAGGAGGTCCAGGAGGCCCAGGAGGTCCTGGAGGTCCAGGTAGACCGTGCTATGGAGAAGCATCAACATGTGAGTTCAACCTTCATCAACACTCACAAAGAGTTTGTGTGGATTCATCCGCTGCTGAAATTAGTCGCAGCAGAAGCTTTGTTTGTTTCCTTTAATAAAAACTACAGCGATCAGCTGTTTGAGAAAAACATCGCGGACATGAAAAGTGGGCGTGTCTCTGACCTTGGACATTCTCCTCGACCCCTTGTTTCGCCGGTTATCCCCCTTGTTGGAGTTTCCTCTAAAGATCAGCCAGGAGCTGAGAGGAGACAGTCTGGACGGGTCCGAGGACGCCGGCTCCTGGAAGACACCAAAGGAGATGGACATGTTTTGACACCTGGTAACCATAGCAACTGTGCTGATGCTTCAGCTTAGAACAGAAAACATGGCGGAGGATTTAAAGTGGTGACATCATCACGTCCAAGGCGAGTGACTCCCCCTGGTGTCAATCATTGTTTTTACATAGATCAATATTAAATCAATCATTGATCAGCTGTTTTCTTACCAGGATGTGGACAGCCTCGTCCTCATCCAGGATCTCCTGACTCTCTTCACTCTCCACGTCATCGACACTCGCTGCCTCCACCGCCACCGCCACCGCCATCATCATCATCATCATCATCAGTCTCAGCAGCACTCCTGCCCCAGCCGCAGAGCTCCTTCCCTGGGTTAACCTGGCCAGCATGCTGGGTGGATGTGGTGGAGGTGGAACTAGAGGACGAAGGTGTTCATGTTATGGACCTAAGACATTCCCATGATGCACTTCTGCATGTCTGCATGTCTTTAATCAGCTCAACTTAACCTGTTTGTCTCCTCTTCTGTCTCCTCTTTTGCCTTCTTTTCTGTCTCCTTCTCTCTCTCTGTCTCCTATTCTGTCTTCTTCTCTGTCTCCTCTTCTGTCTTCTGCTCTGTCTCCTCTTTTGTCTCTGTCTCCTCTTTTGTCTCTGTCTCCTCTTCTGTCTCCTGCTCTTTCTCTGTCTCCTCTTCTGTCTTCTGCTCTGTCGTTTCTCTTTTTCCTTCTTTGCTCTGTTAGTTTTCCGTAGTCAATGAGTCAGTGTGAGGAAAGTTTGGTGTCTCCTCCTCTCTTTCTCTCCTCCTCCTCCTCTTTTTCCAGACCTTTGTCTCTTGTCTTTCAGTGCAGACTTGTTTCTCCTCTCTCGTTTATGCTGCAGATGAGTGATGAGACCGTTTTTCTCCTCTGCTCCTCGTCACTTTGGACGTTTCTTCTCTGCTGAGTCTGTTTTTTATCTTCCTCCCTGACTCCTCCTCCTCTCCCCCTCCCTCTCTTTCTTTTTTTCTTCTCTCTATCTGTCTGTGGATCTGAAACTGTCTCTCTGTCTGTCTGCGCTCATTCCTTAATGTCTCTCCAGCGTCCGTCTGTCTCTGTTTTATCTCGTCTCACATCTTTGCCTCCAGACTTTGTTTTCCTCCTTCTCTCCATCCTCCTTTTTTCTCCTCAAGCTACAAAAATGTGTATTTCATCATGTATGTTCAGTTTATCACATATGTATTTGAACATATGTGTTCAGTCTCTAACATGTGTATTTGGTCATGTATGTTCCATTTATAACATATTTACTGAAACAAACTACATTTTTATTTGTGACTAATGAGTCAATCATGAACACGTAGAAAACATCAAATAACATTTACAATTACAAATGAAATATCACACACACACACACACACACACACACACACACACACACACA